TTTATGCGTTGGCGTATTGTTGGCGTATTGTCGGCGTATTGTTTGTCGTTGGGTTGTCGTACAGTCTGAAAACTCGCCGATTTTGAGAAATATCGAGCTATTGACATTCCCGAGTCATTGGTGTAATTAGTTGATACTTAGGATTAGGTTTTAGGGTTTGCTTATCACTGGGTTTGCAACATACCTTGTTGTAATAACAACCCGCGAAATGGAAAACGTGCGCGAAGCAAAACGCGCTAAACCGGGACCTAAGCCTAGTGCTGTGTTGGATTATTTCGAAGAAGTCGGTGACTATAGCTCTAGCTCCAAGCGCTATGAAGGCCAGAAGGCGATGTCGTTCGCCGTGGGGGAGTGAGGAGGCTTTAGGGCGGTGTGGTCTGTCGTCTGTGGTGTTGGCCTGACACCCAAGCTATCTCTATTTGGGCTGTAGTATTTGTGATAATCACGGTTTGTTAGGAATGCTAGAATGCAGACGCGAATGTGTGCGCACATGGCTCGATGGCTGTCCAGGTCTGGCTGTTGCCCAAATTCATATTTTATCTTGTGAGAGATCGTTTTCCAAACACTAAAGCAATACGCCTTTCATTGTAAAAGCGAAAAACATGAATTCCATGACGGAATAGCGCAAAAGGAATACGCCACGAGTATTGTAATACGGCATGGCGTGAACCCCGGCGTATTGATACGCCATACGCCTGGCGTATTAATTTGAGGTACCATTATTACGCCAGACGGCCAAAACGAATACGGTCGCATCCCTGCTAGTGAGCCTCCTTCCTAATGCACGACATCATCAAAACAGATAAACTTCACGAGCAACTAATGGAAACATACGAATGTGTCTGTGCCAGAGCCATACCATAGGAGTTGTGTACGACTGGATCAAGCTCAGTTTGAGTCCCTCTTGCAGCTCTCTGTAACCTTACGCGTTCGCTGTCATTCCGGTGTTCTTTGATCCCGTTGCAATACAGTTAACCCTTTGGCGCTTGAAGCTTTAAACGCCACAACAGACGATGTCTGGCGTACAGCCCCCAACGCCAGGCAGCAAGGCCGGTGGGAGCCCTGGAGGCGGTAACAAATCCGTCAAGCTTTCGTTCGGGACTAAGACTCCTGGAAATGGCAAGGGTAAAGAAAAGGTAACACGGGGTCGAAGCTGCCGCGAGCTGCGCAATGTTGCATTAAGAGACCACGATTCATCGAACGCTTTTGGATTTGCTCACAACCTTTGGCTTTGCACCATTCGGATGCCTTTGGATTGCTTCACACCGCTGCAGCTAGACCGCTTCATCCCAACACGTTCAGCCATGGACTTCGATTCCGCCAACTACACTCTTAACAAGGATGCTAAACAAAGCAGTGATCAACGTGACGGACAGGGCTCGCCATCGAAGGAAGATTACCAGAAGGCTTTGGCTGCAAGCCTCAGTGTGAATGACTCGAGCCGTATCTTGGCGTTCAAGCAAAAGGCACCAGCAGCTCCTGAAGGTTACGAGAATAATCTGAAGTCGCTATACAACCAGAACCTCGCGCCGAATGCGGCCAAGAAGCAGTTCCGGCACGTACCCACGACACAGGAGCGCATCCTTGATGCCCCGGAGCTGATGGACGATTATTACCTTAACCTGCTGGATTGGGGAAGCCAGAACCTGGTACGTATCACAGCGCATCATCGCAAGGAGTAGCATGAATGTGCGGACATTCCCGTTAACGTGGGAACAGTCTACTGGGCCATGATACCTTGTCCAAGAACGGAACCCTCATCTGTCGGCCTCAGGACCCCTTACCCAGTCGCACAGTGCTTTGGCTTTTCAGCGGCGCTCCTGGTGTATGCTGCTTTTTATTTCAGAGGCCAAATTCAGCAAGTACTCGACTTAAGACGCCGCAGTCTGAGCAGCCCGGTTTTTGTTCTCGACCCAATATGGTGCGTTGACTTGCATACCGCGCAGATCGCCGTTGCCCTCGGAAGGTCTGTTTACCTGTGGAATGCTGGATCTGGTAACGTTGAGGAGCTTTGCACGGTCCCCAACGAGGGTAAGCAAACCGGAAGGAGTTGAGGGTCTCCGCTGCATCTGGGAAGCACACCTTGTGCCATAGCGCCACCCGGGGACTGGGGGGGTTCTGCTTCGTATACCGTATCTTGAGTTTTACCTGACCTGCCCACAAGTCATGTCCCACCAAGCCCCCATCCTAAATTCATTGTCCCATACCCAAGGCGACTACATTTCTTCCTTGCGGTGGGGCAGCGACGGTAATTTCCTGGCAGTGGGTACGTCGGATGCCAAGGTGCAAATCTGGGATGCCACTAGGTGCGTCGCGCCCGGTGCAACTCCTATTTAATTCGGGTTCCGTCTGGTATCCAACGGCCTAAACCAGGGCGACGTTGAATACTTTCTTTTGGCTTATCTCCCAAATTCAACTGATCTCTGTGATCCCATTGAATGCTTCAGGCGCAAGCAGGTTCGTGAGCTCTGCGGACACACGAACCGTGTATCATGTCTGTCGTGGAACGGCTCCATCCTCAGCTCCGGATCTCGCGATTCCACCATTGCCAATTGGGACGTGCGCAAGCGCCGTGACGAAGCATGCGTCGCTACGCTACGTGTGCACGAGCAGGTGCGTTCTGGCACCATGTTGACCTGGGGGACAAGCTAAACGATATCCTTGGCGAGCGGTACCACCCTCTCCCATAGCAGAATCAGTAGTGCTCGACTCTAGCGGCAGGTAATAAATGCTATCGGGAGCTCGCGTGGCCAGAACTCTTTTTATGGACGTATTGTCGGTGCATGTAGGAAGTCTGTGGCCTCACTTGGTCACTCTGCGGACAGCAGCTTGCCAGCGGTGGTAATGACAACATCCTGGCCATTCACGATGCTTCGTTCTCCCTTGTAAACAAGGTATGTTTATGGGCATGACGATGGGCCATTAGCAATACATTCATCTGATGCGTAAAATCTTTAGTATGGGTTTCGGCCTTCACCGCGCACCCCTTGAGACGACCTCAGCATGCAATCAACTGACACCCAATCGCCTGAGCATCCCCGTTGCGCTTATGCATAACCTACAGGTCCAGGCTCACACAGCAGCAGTCAAAGCTCTGGCTTGGTGTCCTTACCAGTCAAACCTGCTAGCTACCGGCGGCGGTACCGCGGACCGCCACGTGCGGTTCTGGAATACGCATACGTGTGCCATGCTAAGTCAAATTGACACGGGCTCACAGGTGGGTTGGAGACGCGGCTGATCTCGTGCTCCTTACATGGTAAGGTATTCGGGGCGTTACAGTATGCTGACCTGATATCACCCAGTGCTCGCGGCTTGAGTTCAGCCAATCCGAACGTCTTACTGCCTGGGTGGAAACAGCATTGGCCCCATTTCGTATTTTTCGCGTATAACCAGGTGTGCGCTCTCCAGTGGAACCCACATGAGCGCGAGCTGCTTTCAAGCCATGGTTACTCCAAACACCAACTGTGTTTGTGGAAGTACCCCAGCCTGGTCAAGGTATGTACAGCTGTATAACTGCATGTGGGTCTCGAAGCGCCCATGGATAGCATAACCTTGGTAATGGCTCTAGATAAGTTATGCCATCTCCCAACCCAGGTCGCTGAGCTGTCCGGCCACCAGGGTCGCGTGCTACACATGGCTACCTCGCCAGACGGCTGCAGCGTTGTGACAGCGGGCGCGGACGAGACATTGCGGTTTTGGCGACCGTTTGGTGAGCCGCCCGCCCCGAAGGATGCCGACAGCAAACTCGTCGCGGCGGCAAGTGGACCGATGGCAACAGGCGCAGCTGCAGGCTTTGGTAGCCTGCGCAGTATTCGATGATTACATAGCAGGTCCTTCGCATTTCAGACGTAGTCCCGAGCAGCGCTCTGCGAGCTCGAAGCGTCCGATGTTCCTTGCAAGCATGATCGTAACACGCTTCAACTTGCCGCAGGTCGTGCAGTGCTTGCAGGTTGGGGTTGTAGGTACCAGAAACGGAAAGGAATTGCAACTTCTTACATTTTTACACGGAACTGTTAGTTCTTGTCATATGACGTGGCTACCGCTATGGTCTACACGTGTGTGACAGCTATTGTTATTTCGTTCGTGGGTTGACGAATTTGGCCACAGTGGAAGAGAATTAATAACAGTAGCCTGACGTTTCTTGTACATATTGGCTCAAGGGCTCGCGCGAATGCTTCAGCGAGCAACGAGCCCGCAATTATACCACTCAACCCTCTGCCAAAACGAGAGCTAGACTCTCTTGTCGTGGTGTGTGCGTCGAGTTATGGTAAATGTTCATATTGCATGTATGGTGTGTGAGAGGCGGTATGTATCAGTTTCACTGGATAGTCAACTGGTTAAGGTTGTTGGAAGACGCGTTGCAATACGTTTTCCAATCCAAAAAATGACATGGGTGGGGTCATTGTGACATTATCATCCAAACAAAGTCAGTACACCTCCGTGTCCACCCGTACAACGTGTTCAGCCAACAAACAATCACGGCAACCAGTTACCCACAGGCCAGAATCATATCCATGACGTGTTAAGTACACCATCGGCGTCAAAGTGATCAAGGCATATTGTCTTGCTTCCATTGCAAAATTGAGGACCTCAGCGCGTGGTTAGGTATGAGTGTCGCGCCGCCTGGCATCGGGGTATTAGTCATTGGGCTAATAGGTTTACTCTTCAGCCATTCCGTGATGGCAGCACGCTCATACGTGTAGCCGTCCGTGGCGATGACAGGGTCACTCATAACCTGGAACCCGAAAAGGCACATAATGGGGGGTGATAGGTTTTAGTCCATACCTCGGCACCGTAGAAGCGAAAGGCTGGTACAATGTCTTTATAGCAAGCCGAGCCGGTGGTACAATGTCTGACGCAAACAATAATCATCCAAGCCTAGCCATATAAACGGTTAAAAAGACATCAACGGATTCGATGGCTGAAACTGAAACACTACACCACCTCCATGACTGTTGTCATACTGCATATCACAAAAGCTGCACTTTCTCTTGTCTAAGGACTGTCCATAACCTAGGGCTTGCTGCCCGGGCGAGGTTGCAGCAAGGCAAACATGCCACGAACTTCATAAATATTTTGGCAGCTCCTCCCGCGGAGAGATTATGCCCAATTATTTCCCCACTACGGCGTCAGGCTATTGGCGCTAGTTGCATTAGCCATCAAGGCGCTAAACGAGTCCCCGTTTCCCTCTTTCAAAGACCAAGGAGCTACTTTACACTTACGTCTTGTGTGATAGGGCATAAATACATAGGGTCCGGTTGAGGACCATTCCTTCCGTCAGCTTGCCCAGCGCCGGGAACGCCACTGCTGGTTGCAGCAGCTGTAGCCGGCCCGCCCTTGACTTCGCTGCTTTTTGCCGCCGCTGGCGATGCAGTTGTTGCAGCTGATGTGCTTTCGGAGCCTCTAAAAGTTGAACCACCGCTGGCCCAGCCACTCATGCTGTTAGCCGGGACTGGGGGATCCAACGGTGGGTTACCGAGCCGACGACGCGGCACACCGGCACGTAACGCCGAGTTCCGGGAGAGGAGCCCAAGCCGTTGGATCGCCTACAAAAACCCAAGCCATTAACAACCATGCGTGCATAGCCATTCCAGCGCATAATTCGCCTATTAGGCTGACGCCTTCGTAAAAGTGAATTATTCCGGTTGACACGCACTTCATTGACCACTCTCACACCAAGACAGCTGCGGAACAGGTTAGGTTGTCGACTAGAAGTTTCAACCAAGCAAAGCCATTTCAAGGTTTCTTACAATTGTACGCTTAACAAATCCTCTCTCCCGCGCACACGCACAGCGCCCCGGCGCGCGCGTGGCGGCATACCTGGTACTGCTCAGGAATTTCCATTAGTGCCCGAAGCGCAAAAAGGGCCTCACGCCGCTCCAGATTGCCCGAGGTACTCGACATGATCTCCGTAAAGTTCACGAACTAGCGGCAGGAAAGGGCGGGATCACACCTCACCAGGTAGTTGTCGCAACGTGTCCCCACAAATGTATCCAAAAGCAAGTCGGCCTGAATGCTGTCCCTATCCGACCCGTGGCCTGCTCCATTTTAGCAATAGTAATATATCTGGTTTCGTTCCGTCCAACAATAATGAACACACATCGCCACATCCGCTGCTACAGCGCGCAAGTCAATCTCAAGCAAGCGTAGCTCATCAACTGAGTGCGTACCTGGAAGTTGTCAAACTGCCGTTGTGGAAGCGCGTCGTCAAAGTCCTTCATGACATCCCAGGGGCCGTCACCCACTCCCACCATGACGATGGACAGCGGTAGATAACTGAACGGGAGCGGCAGACCCAGGCGCATCACAAGGGGCGTACTTCCGTCAGATGAAGGCACATCGAGCACGCCACACACCCATACGCCAAAGAACCCAGCCCAGCAGTTCAATGCTGCCTAACAACCCACAAAACACCACGATCCACCGTGCCCTCCGTCCCACCTGGCCTCAACGATGGCGTCTATCGTGTCTTGTTCCTGCTCGCTGTGTTGTCCCGGAAGCAGGTCGGATGACCTAGATACCTGGTTAGGTCAGTGGATAGTTCGGGGATGCAAGACGATGTCAACCGAGGCCCTGTAGTAACATGGGCCGCGCGTAACGCGCTCACACGCGTAACTCCGGCAGTCACCCACCTGCCCATCCGCCACCAGCAGCAAAATGTGGTATTGGTACCCCGACTGCTCCACAATGCGGCATGCTTGACGTATGGCCGGCGCGAACGAGGTAGGCCCCGCCATGCGGATGTAGGGGCAAATTTCTCTGCGGGGTCACACAAGAACGAACGCATTCAATACGCACCATATTGACGCCGTTAAGACTGCGGGAACGAGATCACCAAAACTGCTTGGGGATGCGCAACTGATCGCAAGGTTTGCATCAAGGACAGTCAGCCTGTGGAACCCGGGAGTGGAACCCGGGCGATGGACGGCACGTATCCGTTCTCCCTTCCGCTGTTGCGGCTCGCTTCAGCACTCACCGGTACCGCCACAGAACCTGGTCGAGTCCCTGGCAGGGCTTATCCCCCGGGAGGAAAGAGAACACGGCCTTGTCGCCGGAGGTGGCTGCGGGGAGCAAATCGGGGAGCACACATGACGCCACCACGTGTTGTTGAGGGGCATTGGTAGGGGCTTGGTGCGGACAGAGATGCCATATGCTGCTCCTTTTTCCGAATGCACCGCTGAGGCCGGTCCATGCATTTACTTGAGGTCGCCACGGATGTTGGAAATACGGCGGACGTACGGCAAGTATATAGCGCTCACCAGCCGCTGCCCATGCCGCACAGAGATGCCCTCGACGCAGGACGCTCCCCCAAGGTACTAACGCGTAATGCTTACCGTCACCGAAGCCATAAGCAGGGATGAGCCCATCGTCGTCAAAAACTGACAGCGTCTTGCCAATGGCACTGATGGCGTCCTCGTACGGTGAAGGCATGTCACCTGCACCAGCCGGTGAGGTGCATTGCGGGTCGGACGTTTGTTAAGCGGCATCACGACTGGTACGACATCTGTGTCTGGAGCCTTTGATTAAGTTTACAGGTTAGCAGACCCCTTGGCGTTTGCTTCCCGGCATGTAAGGATGCCATCCCCGTCGTGTAGGCAACGCCGAACGCAGCGCCTTTTGCAAATCATGGACAGAGCTCAGCACCCTCTGCTGCTTGAACGCCGGGCTAGACGAGGCATGAATCACCACGCTCACGCCTCCTGAATTCCTGTATTGCTCAACAAGTATCGTGGTTTGCAGACGACACACCAACATACGCACCTATAGCGTGGAGAGACTTTCCGCCAAAGCTCCGCTTGCCCGTCCATTCGTTGCTCTGCCGGCGGAGGGGAAAGATTGGGGGGAGCCTTAGCACTATTGGTGAAATACCTGGTCTTGCGTTGCAGTTCTTTTGTACCTACATCCACGACTATATTTTGCAGCCCAAGGCACAAGCTGCCCCAGGGCAACGTAGTTTTGACAAGGGATACTGGTAAGGTGCATGCTCAATCCTTGCTTGGCGAAGTCCCTCAAATTGAAATCCCACCTTTGTAAAGTCCAGTGCGACGATGAGGTTTGAGGACTCCAGCCCGCCTTTCCGAAGGGCATCTTGGACCTCCTCCACGCTATTGAAGCGGTCCGCAATTGCCCTGCGCTCACGCACGAGACGAGACCTGTAACCGTCATTCCCTGCTTGGTACTGTTGGAAGGCGCTGACAGGTGGGCCCACCGTCAGGCAGTGAGAGACCGTGCGGATGGTCCGTGGGACAGCTACGCCCGGGTACCCTCCGGGATTGAGGCGCCAAGGCAATTTTATTTTTACGCTTATGGTATATATAACGCTTACGTTACATACGACGCCTGAAAACAGACCTGAAGCGTAGTGTAGGGCTTTGGAATGCAGCAAAGCCACCGGCGTGGGGCAGCCGCTGATGCTGTTGTGCTGCAGCAGCTGCACATTCTGCCGGCACATAGTTGTATTGCATTCCTGGCGTTCCCTGCTTGTTATTCTTGGTTTTGCTGCTTGTTGTCCCCATGTCCCGCAGGAGTGTGTCCCGCTGCAAAGAACCCGAATACGGTGCCAAAAAGTCATGACAAGGATGCTTACAATTACCCGCAATCGTGATGCACTTTCTATCGCACCTTAAGACGTTACGCCTTTGACATTGCCAACTACTGACGCTCTACAAATCAAGTTCTGCTTTTGAGGACTTGACGCAAACTTTTAAGTAAAATAAGGAAAACTACCAGGATAGCTATGGCACAAACTCCTACTTGGCGCTCACTTGAGAGTACTTCAGTAGAAGCCTAGAAGCTGTACGCAGATGAATGAGGATGTCCGTTGCCTTCGTAAGTTGCTACTGAAAATAATTGGCGTGTTTGGGGTTTCTCTTGGAAATCGAAACTGGATGTCCGTAATGTATCATTGACTACGTATGCACATACCCCACATACCGTAACGCATGCTGGAAGAGTGTCCGTCAGTGACAGCCACGAGAACTATTTTTTTGTCACGCCATTGCTGTAACGGAATTTATTTAACCTATGTAAGGTAAAACTCCGCCAAGACCGCGGACAACTACTCCACGTAAATACCATGTGAACCACTAGAACAACGGCTGAAACGGGACTTATGCCGCGGAAGTGATCAGGGTGACGTATCTTATCTTATGCAGCCCGAGGGCGATGCATTGGAGCATAGCACGCGCAGCACGATCTGATATTAACCTGTTGGTTACGATCTGATACTAGCCTGGATAGATTTTAACCTGTTGACGACACAATACACTGTGTCGTGTCCTGGACACAACGAAGGATAATCCGTGACACGGGTGCCATCACCCATGTTTCCGGTAGGACATATCCCAGCATACCTGTTTAAAGTTGCCGCTCGTTCGTGACCAAGGGAAATGCAGGTATAAGAAGCTCAGGCTTACTAATTCTCAGTCTTAAACACCCAGGATGGTTTACGGAATCGAGTTGCCTGTGAACTGCCCTCAGGTTGAGCACAGGAAAGGTAGTCGACCGGCGAGTTGTCGGCAAAAAGCTTGCCATGCTATGTCTTCCAAGCAGGCCCGCGGTCGTCAGGGGCTGCCAACAGGCCAGCAGCAGCTGTCCTTTGGTGGCGAAGGCCCTGCCCCCAAGCGTCCAAAGCTGTCTGAGCTCGGCAACGGCGGCTTACAACGACAACATCACGGACACGAGGACCGTCAGCCACAGAGCAACGCCCTCCTGCACCGCGACGCAACGGGTAGCTCATTCACGGCATGCCCGGTGTGCGGCAAGCATGTGCGTGCGCGGACAGCACACACCATTGCAGCGCTCCTTCCCGCTCAGACAGTCCTACTCCCCCCTGGCATGCAACCATCTTCAGTAGCCTCTAGGCGCGCTCACAAAGCTCTACCACCTCCCACGGCAGGTCCCGCTGCTGTGCATCAACCTACATCTGGACCTGGGCTGTGCCCAAGTGCCTACGCCAACCGCCGTAACGGCAGCCGCGCCAGGCGAGCGGAGGAGCAGAGCCCCCGCACGGCCAGTACAACAAGGCACGGAGCCCCAATCGCAGCGCCGGGCAGAAGGAAAGCAGGCGTTGCCAGGAGCCAATGGCGCGGCAGCAGACGACGATGCAGAAGATGATGCAGTCGCCACGACCGGGCCTGAGCACCCGCGGTCCTCTCCACGGTGGGAACTATCACCGGAACAGCAGCAGCTGGCGCCGCTCCACTCGCGGCGGTTGGCGGTGGAGGCACGGGAGCAGGGGCTTTTAGCTGGAGCTGAGGATACGCCCGAGCCAAAGTTTCCCCTGCTAGGCCTCCGGCAGCAAATGGCCGTTGCCGCAGCCGCAATTAGCGCGGGCAGCGGCGCTGGTGCGCAGCGTTACGGTGGGGGACATGCTATTTTAGCCTACAGCCCGGCCAGCGGCGATGGCCGAGGGCTCGGTGCAGGCGGTGGCACCACCGCCGCGGCTCCGTCCTCCTGCTGTAATCGGGACGATACCGGCGTGAGGTGCGTTTTGGAACCGCGTACGAGGTTCTCGCTGCAAGGTGCTCTACCTCGGGGCCTCCCTACCGCCGCACCCCCTTGCCTTCCCGGTACGGTATTCGCCTCGTCGTATTCGGCCCAGACACTGCTCGAGCCACAGCTGCACAGGCACCGCACGCACCTGGCAAAGCCGCATGAGCTGCAAGACGCAACACCAGCAGCTGCGCGGCAGCCTGCGCCGCCTCTTCGGCTATTCGTAGATGCGACGGCTGTACGAGGCTCCCCGTGCTGCACCTGCTTGAAGGATACGGCAATGTCCACAGCGCTGGCGGCGGCTGCTTCCACGGCTGTCGACCGGGGACGTGACCCGGCGCCAGCTGGCCCCTCACCGCCAGCCGCAGTGTTGGAGGTACCTGTCGAGATGCCACCGGTGGAGGCGCTGTGGCAGGTACCCCACAGCGCGGGCTTCAAGCCCAGCAGCGACAGCTACCATCTGAGCAACAGCGACCATGGTGGTGATTCGAGTAGCGGAGGCGGCGCCAGCGCATCATGCCGCCATGGCCTTAATGAACATGGGCTGGACCCGGGGCCTGTCGCAGGCAACATTCCGTTGCATCCCATGTTCCTTCCCCGGGGGGCTGTTGCTTCACGGAGGGTATGTACGACGTGGGGCCCCAAGCCCGCGTGTCGTCAGGTAGGATGCGGACGAGGAGGGGTTGCGGAGGCAAACGTGGTGGCAGCGGGTATGTATGTCTGCCGTCTGTAGCAGCCAGAGAGCGCCCGGTAGAGAGAAACTGCAAGTAGGGCAGTGTCGAGGTACTGGATTGCGACGCTGTGGCGGGGAAGGGTGACGTCACTGTCGTACGGCAGCTGGGCTCCCCAGTGTCAGCGACAGTGGCTACGTGCGTTGCGCAGGAGGGCGCGGAGGAGGAGGAGGAGGCAGCGAGGGCGGCAGTGCCAGAGGTGATAGCGGAGGCGGCAGCGGTGGCGGGGGAGATGCGAGCAGAGGTTAGGAAGTGTGAGGAGGAGGAAGAGCGGAGCAGATTGCGCGGAGGATTATTGATGGCCGCCAGATGGCGTCATCCGAGTCTCCAGGCGGTGCGTTTTGGATGGGAGGGAAAGGGTGGCTTTTGCGAGGGCTGTTCAATTGGGAAAGGGGGGTTTACTAAACACCCCGTAACTAAACACGTGTGTTAAAAGCAAAGTTGGCCTACGCCATTTCGCGGCGCGAGGAGGCAGTTTCAATTATGCAATACGCAAATGAGAGGTCAGCCTCACTTCCTGACTGTCGCCAGCTCGAGAGCGAAGCGTCTGGTGTGGTGATGGGCGAATAGCACGTCTCCCGCGGCAGAGGTATGGATTTAGCAGAGGCCTAAGGCGCGTGTGCCACAGGTGTCCCACCCCGCCCTGGAAGGCCAATACTTGGTTTTGGAGTTCGTAACGCCTGCCGAGGAGGCAGAGCTCCTGGCCATGTGTGACGACCCCGTGCTCAAACCCTCTTGGAGCCCCTGGATCGGGCAGATGTACGGCAATGCCACGGCTCAAAAGACTCGGTGAGCCGGCGCCCATGGCGGCGGGGGTTGGAACCCAGGGAAGAGACCGCAGGCCGCCATGGCCCCGGTGGGAAGTCTGTAGGCAGCTGGCGAAAGCTGCTATCTTTTGGATGAGCGAAAGCCAGTTTTAACACTGTGGCTGGGAGCCTGAGGCAAGGATGTGGGTCAGAGGCAGTCGTGCTGAAGGCAATGGAGAGCCATTTCCCGATTGTTCCGAGTGCACCCCAGTGCTGGTCGCTCGCTCCCGCTGCGTGGTCCTACCGGCAGGGGGAAGCGTTGGGGGGTGCTGCCCGACTACCACCGCCGGGGAGTAGCACCTGTGGAGCATCCCCTGCCGCCACTACTGCGAATCTTGACGGAGCGCATGAGGGTCCAGGTCGGACTGCTGAGGGTGAGGAGAGGGCCAGAGAGGGAACGTGCGTGTGGTGGTGGGGAAGGAAGCTTCCTAGGCGCCTGGTGGGGTGGCGCTGGTCGGTGGGTTGAAGCCAGTTGCGGTCCGTTGACCTATGACAGTTAGATTGCCACATGGGACCCTCTGCTCCCGAGCACCTTAAAGCTGCCCGACTGCCGGTAACACCTACCACCCTTGACCGCTGCTGTGTTTTCCGCCTCTTGTCACTCAGCCGATACCTTTCCGTTACCGGCTTGTCCTCTCGCCGCTGTACAGTGTTTTCAGCCCAACGAGGCCAATGCAATTGACTATTGGCGTTCCAGGGGCTCATGGCTGCGACCCCACGTGGATGACAGGTGGGCCCTAACTAGGCTACTTCTAGCCATCGACCCCATCTTCCGGTCGGCGGTCGGTGCTTGCTTCCACGCAGTTGAAGCCGCGTGGATCGGCTGTTTTGCTGCCTGCGTTGTAACGGTAAAAAGAGTGCAAGCAAGCGCAAAGCTGTGAAGAAACCACCTCACCGAGGTCGCGTTGGGTCGGACCCTCTTGGATTGCTGGGCGTGTGGTGGATGCGGTGGTTCCTTGCGGCTTCCAGTTCCTGGGACCATAAGGCGAAAAAGAGCATATGCCCTACGGCTGCGGCTTCAACTTGGGCTGCTTATTGCCTGGGAGCCTGGCAGGGCGGCAGGCGGGCTGTCGGTCTATCACGGACCCCTAGGAGCTGTAGGGGGGAGGGGCCTCGCAGCTGCAGAGGGCCGGCCTGTCGCGTGGTGGGGATTAGGACGCCCCTGCACACGTGCCCAAGTCCGAACAGCGTCATATTCCGAAGACAATTGTGGGCCAAAGGCGCCTCGGAAAATCGTACAACGCAAGCAAACTTGCCATCGTCCCCTCCTGCCTGTGCGTCACGGTGGTGGTGTCTCTCTGTCGTCCACTGTGCGCTGCCCCGGCAGAATCCTCAGCGGCGACCTGATTGTCAACCTCAGTCTGGGGGGGGCGGCCGTCATGACCTTCGCCAGAGAACGGGACAAGGACGAGGGCGGTGAGGCCAGAGCACCTGCTGCCCTTCCCCACCGTCGTCAGCATCCGCGCCAAGGTCATCCAGGGCTGCAGCAGCACCAGCAGCAGCAGCAGCATCCCCGTCAGTCAGCTGGGGACGAGGTCCGTGTCAGGTTGGCACCCCGGAGCCTTCAGGTGTGTTCCGGTGGTAGCTTGGCAGGCACATTGGGCACGCCAGGGCTGCCGGACAGAGGAGATAAGACGACGGAGGCCAGAGCGGGAAAGCAGAGAGGGAGGGGTGAAGGGCATGCCATGTGCAATTGCTAAGAGAAAAGGTGCATGGGGACATAGTAGGCCGTGCCGATGAGGGGGGAAGTGGAGAAATAGGTTCGCCCCCCTGGAAATTACCTCCAATCCTTGCCGCATCTGTCTGTCTGTCTATCTGTCTGCCCTTTTCTATTTGACTGTCTATTTCCTTAAATGGCCAGATACTCAGCCGAGCTGCCCGTTACAGCTACACGCACGCCATCGCGGCCTCCGACCTGCTGGACGCGCGCCGTGTCTCCATTACCTTTCGCCGCTCGGAGCTGCGACCGTTTGAAAGGGCCGAGCGTTGAGCCCAGAGCGTCCTCCAGCAGCGTGCCTAATACCTGCTTACCTGGCTTATAAGCACCACCGAATCAGGGGACGTCGTGAAGGCAATTGGAAAGCTGCTCGAAAGCCAGTATGGACGGGGCAGCAAAAGGAGAAGACAGTGAACCCTCGCAGTCTGCCAAGCTATTATGGAAAGGGAGCAGCTTGTCGGGCGGATGGATGGCGGTGGCTGCAGCCACCGGGCGGGCGGATGGATGGCGGTGGCTGCAGCCACCGGGCGGGCGGATGGATGGCGGTGGCTGCACCTGCGGCGTCCTAGATTTGTGAGCTAGGTCACAATAAAGAATGACCTGGTATCGGAGCCCAGCTGGACTGGGACATGAGCGGGTCACCCGAGCTGAGCTGAGCTGAGCTGAGCTGGACACGTGACATGGTTGACCTGGGCGGGGGGGGAGGGTCTAGGTCGGTCATGTTGGCATAGTATCATCGACCAAGCAAAAGGACAGAAGGGACAAAATATTCCGTCGCGTTGATGAAGACCCCGTCCCGTAAAAGCTTGTTTAGGATACTTCTTCCCGTGGGTTTGCTGCATGTGACGGATGGAGGTGGGTTTTCAGGACTATCTACGAGCCATCGGATGAGCCCCCGCCATCTAGGGACTCCGGATGGATTGCGTGATCGAGCTTGCGACCGGTTGGCTGCACATCGAGCAAGATCGGGAAGGGAAAAAATAATGTAGGACAGGGGTTGGGAATGGCGACAGGCCAATAGATTCCCAGGTGGTCCATGTTGGGTGGCTGGGAGGGTGTGGTGAGCACAGGAATCTGGGCGTATGGACGTGCAACACGTGTGGCGTGTGGGAGCATATATTGGGTAAGGGAGGGTAATGCAATGAGGTGAGGCTATGGTGGGGAAATTTTGTCAAGAAATGGGTTTCGGGACGGTTGGTGTCCCGTCGCACATTGCAGGGTCGCAGGAGATTTGCGCTGCACGGTACAGGTGAAGGGTTGCGGGTAGGTGGAGCGCCTGGGGCACGCACGTTAACATGCCTTGCCGTGCAAACTTTGAGGGTTCGACAGGCGGGACATTGTTCTATGCTTACAGATATATTTACAGACATACGTAGTGCGCCGACATGCCACAGGGTTCAACGTATGAAGCAGGACGTGCGCAATACCAAGGCGCGTCGCAAGCCGCTGCCGCCGCTTCTTCTTCCACAACTGTCCACCAGCAAGCATCCCGCGGACGAATGCAATCTAATACAGAATAAAACAAGCAAATCGGCAAAACAGCGTATTACGGAACAATTTACAGGAATGCGTGTCCGTTGCATGCCAGAGCATGTCCACTCTGCGGTATGCTAATAAATTGGCCATAAATACCGAAACACAGCACTTCGAGTTCCGTGTCCGCAGTCGAACCCGGATATCTACCTCTCCGGGATGTAACTTGAAGCAAGGGCACCTCCGCACAACACCGTCACCTTTAACAAGCACTAGGGGCCCGACAAGAACCAAGCAGGACCGCACGCCTCATTCCTAAGACTGTACAGCAATCCTCTGTACGACATTTGAAAGCCGGGGGGGGCAATGTTGGGAAAGCCTTGTTGCGTTACGTTTAGCCCATATCAATACCATACTGGCCTCTTGACTACCCACATCAGAGCTCAGACCCACATTATTAAATACAATCCAACCGTACAGAAGCCGTGCAAGCCTAGAGGGACTATAGGAACTCCGCGTAGGAAACGTTGGCGCAATTTTCCGACTGCTGATTTGCGCCTCCAGCACCGCATTTAGAAATGCCCTGCATGGTAAATGCAGAAGACCAGAAGACTGAGTGTACGAACGACGTTCAGTAATCCAGGGCTCTCAGACGGCAGGCCCGGCCCACTGCATAGCACCACAAGCGAATGGCGGAGCTTCACGACCCCAAGCCTCATGGCATGCCCGCCCACTAACGCGTCTATTCCTATTGGACCTGGCGTCAATTCCAGCCCTGGCTTTCACAGATAGGTTCAGACATTAATCTTTTAGGGTGCGCATTTTGCTCAGCCAACCGTAGGTTACTCGCCATGCGCCTGTCTCCTCAAGCCAATATGCCGTACCTTAGTCAGCTGATCCGGTCCAACAGCCGAAATGCGGATCATCTCTACCTCGTACAACATGGTTGAATTAGCGGGTACGACAGCGTACGGAGCAAGTACGGTCTGGTTGCCGAAACCCAGGGCTGCGGGTACACGCACGGTACGCCGGCCGCCGATGCTCATGCCTTCCAGCGCCTGTCCCATCGCAAACATGGTCAGCAGGTCACGTTTGACGTTGAGTGCCGCACATAAATAGGACGTTACATAATGGGTATGTCTTCATACCTACTTGCAGTACAGTAGGCAGTTCCTTGGGCTTAAGATTGAGATCAAAACAATTGTAAGAGACACGGTCAGGCACTCATGGTTAAAGCGCAGAAGTAGGGGTGGTGCCCCCGGTTGGCAGTAGCGATCATACCGTAAATTAAATTGCTGGCATCAAAATCACATAGCTTAGTAGTGAAAAACCAGAGACCAATCAACCTGTGGCCTCCCCTGCATTGCACCGCAGCGATGCGTGACCGTCTCGGCTTGCTTGCCACCCGCCAGTGGAGCAGCCCAGTCCCCAGCGCTACTCCTCATACCCGCCTGACCCGCCTGGCCGGGTGCCACCCCAATCCCCATACAAGCTTTCAGCAGCCAAGTACTGCTTCCGATTTTACCATTCCTAATGATGATACTCGCGCACACCGGGGAAACTTCCTCACCTGTCCACTTGACAACGAAGGCTGCCATTGCTTGCCCGCGTCTTCTCATCTACACACGCCTCCCGCTCTGAGGGCGCACAGGACGCCTCACTACCCGTCAGGTACCTGACCCCTCTTAGCTTTGCGTTCACGTCCGCAGGGGCGGCATGCAACCCACCTGCTGCAGGCCTTCACATATTCCCGGCACAGGACCGCCTCCCAACGCAATGGCCGCCGGACGCAGCACGCCAGGTCCACCGTCTCTGTACGTCTGCAAACGGTTGCGAGCGGTTGGCCGTTTGGGCCAGGGTCGGAGGGCTGGACGAGTGGCCCTGCCTGGCCACACGGAGGAAGAGGAAAAGTAATAAAACGGTCAACGGGCAGTCGAATCCTGCCATGTGCCGGCAGCGTCACCTGCTTGCCCTGCCTGGAATAGAAACCCCACTTGTGCAACCGCTGACTGGAGCCACGTGACCAACCGCTATGTCAAGGCGCGCGATTGCGTTTGAGAAATTAAAATGGGAAAACATGACAACCTCACTCACCAGACCTCCACGAGTCGAGTCGAACACCTGGCCGGTAGCCTCCAGCCGCCCTGCCAGTCAGGGAACGGTGAAGGGCCGGGCCGGGCTACATTCACTGGGCGATTTTCGTTGCCTTTGACAATCACGGCAACGAGAATTCCATCCGTCTAAAGGGCCGCCTTCACCGGCTGCTGCTAGGCGTGTGACCGCGCGTGCCAGGGGGATACGTGCGGAGTGTACTAAATTATGGGCTGATAGCACTGAGGCCTCAGGAATGTCGGGCTTGCCGGAAATTGCAACGGAAGGAGTTAATTTTAATGAAGCGGGAGCCGATGCGGTGCTGTGATGCCTGGCGGAAAGGGCACGATGACCCGGTCGCCCGTGTGGTTTTGCGGTGTGGTGCAGCGTTGACTCGCGTTGGGGTTGACAGGGTATGACGCAGTTGAACGCCATGGTTATGAGTTGGATTATGCCTTCGTAAGACAGCGATCTTTACGTGGGAGGCCCTTGTGGCCCTGCCTTGCGGGACCGTACAGCTCACCGTATCGTGAAACGATTTCCTCTCTGCTTCAGCTTTGTACTGCATGAACGTGTGACCGCGGCCAGGGTTCAAGCACAACTCACCCACATAATGGAAGAGTACCAGGTCCCCACGGCGCGCTCCCCGGGAACCGAACCCCTTTTGGTCCTCCAAGATGTCGACGCTGGAGGCAGTAGCCAATGCATCTACATATGGCAACGAATGGTTAGCCACCCCGTCATACCATAAGGTTGAACCAGGCACATACCGGTGTCAAGCAATCCACTTGCAGCAATAGCAAGCATCGTCGCCACAGCGCTCCGACGGCTTCGCAAAGGAAAACTTTGGCCAGAGCCATCTTTAGCACACAAAACTTCCTGATTGTCTTTCGCTACTTGGATGATTTTCGGTTCGCGAGGTGCTGTCAGAGGGCTGGCATTGATGCACAAAGGACGCACACGAGCTACGCTAGGACGCGCCGTCCGTTTAGTTATAGATGGATTCCTTGAGATAATCATCTATGAGACGGTGTTGAAGAAAGGGATGAAGATGCAAGGATCCCGACCGTGCACGCACTTATGTTCAGCCCCTCCAACGCAAGCACGAACAGTATCTTTACGATTAAACTAAGCACACGACATTATTGTCTATGCAGGATATAGCTGAACTCATATGTTGTATGTTGTTCTGTATGTCCTGTATGTTCGTCCATTAGATCGCAGGACGATGACGGAGCAAGCATCTAACTCATAACCTGTCAAACCTCTAAGCTCGCTTGATAATTGAAGGGAACCGTACCGCTCCTAAACAATCGGGAAACGTAAGCTGACTTCACTTGCCGTGAAACGGGCCTCAGCCCAGGGAAACGGGATTGTCCGAACTCAACTTAGACTTTACAGCATCCATAATATGCTTCGCTTATATGGTCAAGCCAGCACTCTTCACCACCACGAGCCGTACCTATCCAATCCTGGCTCCGCTAGCTCCGAACTTTTGAAAATTGCTAAAGAACTCCAAAACATTGTCAACTAATTCCAAAACATTGTCAACTAACTCCAAAACATTGTCAACTAATTCCAAACCCTGAAAGGAGTGCCGGCGGGAGGAGTTGGGCGGGGAGATGGTGGTTGCTGCCAGGAGGCGACGAAGTTCCGGGCAGTGTTCCTTGGCGTGCGACTCGTCACCGCACTGTAGGCAGACGTGCTGGGCCATGCGCTGGAGGCGCAAGTTGTAGGGGACCCCGATGGTTTTAACGCCGCTCGGAAGAGGTGAGTTGCTGTGGTGCGGCGTGGTGGAGTAGACGTTGGCGGTCAGGTCCATAGGGTCGTCCCGGCGGACGTCTCGGGAGCTGCGTGGCGCGGTGTTGTAGTCGATGAGATGAGCATTGTGGCGCCCGGAAAAGATGCCCATCGCCAAGTCGATGATGATTTGCAGGGTTACATCGGTGCCGTACTGAGGAAGCCTTGCGTAGACTTCCTCGCGAAGGTCCCTGTTGAGCCCCTTTGCGAAGTGAAAGACGTGATCGAGTTCATGACGGTGAGGGAGGTCGCCCATGAGGCGTCCGAAGGCGGCCACGTACGACACCAGGGAGTTCGGGCCTGAGCCTTGACGAATGGTGTCCATGCTGATCTGTGCCTGGAGGAGGCGATCGGGTCTGGGCGCGAGGGGCGTTAGCGCTTGGAGGACCGCAGTTAAGGAAGTGAAGGGGGTACGTTGGTGGCGGAGGAGGGTGTCGAGGGTAGGTCCTTCGATGGCAGAAAGGGCGATGGCGACAGCAGGCGCACTGTCTTCATGCAAACCGCATACCGTAAAGTGGAGACGTAGGCGGTTGGCCCACCACTTCCGAAGCCGCTCTTCCCTGGGATAGAATCTCAGAAGTAGCCGCCCATGCCGCCATCCGCGCTTTAGAGAATCGTTCGTCAACGGCCAACAACCAGCGCGGACCAGCCCCCCGATTCAACCCCACGGCCAAGGATGCCGACCTCGCT